CCTAAATCATTGAATGAGCATGAAGACCTAGAGAAAATGTTCATTTCTGCACTGTTTAGAATGTACTCAACATCTTATCCACAAAGAAAGAAAAAATACTATCTAATTTTCTGCAGAAAGACGTCAAGATAAAGGTACCCAAATTTCAATTTTAAGTGAAACTTGTTAGGAATATAGTGTAGTAATACCTCATCACCTGCATGATCCAGTTCAGCTTGCCTTTTCTGTAGTTCTTCTCTCTGCTCAGTGAAATTTACGTACTGGTCTAGTGCTTTCTTGTTTACATGGCTGAACGGTTGAAGCTGCTCAGTAAACCTGTGATGCATTTTCTGCAATTCTTTGATGTTCTTCCCCCCGATTCCTACATTTTTATCAGGAAAAAATATATATGATAAAATCAGAGTAAATGCAGTGGCATGGAAAGCTACTATATCCCCTGGATAATAAGATATCTAATCAGAAACCAAAATAAAAACAGAAAGACCTTAAGGGTTGTGATTGTCTGTCTCGGAAACTAAGATAGAAGTAAATTAAAATAAAATTCTCAATCCATTTAAGTTGATAAGTGGTAATAAGAAACCCCATATAAATGGACTAAATAAGACCTAATCCAACATATGTGTCAAAAGCATCAGATGACAGCTTTGACATCTCTAGATGCCAGTACAATTTATAAGCTGAAATTAAGTGGCATAGAAAACCGAAGGTTCAAGCAAAAGGCATACGTATCAAAGGCATCAGATGACAGTCGCCCCAATTCCCTTATCTTCTTCAAGTACAAGTCTTGTTTGGCAAGAAGATTACTCCGACTGCTCAACAATCATTCTAAGTCTGTTGCACGATCCTGCAGTGATCTCTCATAATCGTATTCTGCAGTCTGCATCAGTGTGTTTCACGATCTTAGCAGCAGCAACAAACACTAGAAACAAAAAGATAATCCCATCAGAGGACTAACTTTATCTTATTTTTCTCATTCTTGACCTCCTTAAGTTGCTTCTCCCACTCATCGATTCCATCAGAAACTCCTATATCCAACAAAAACAATCGGAACACAGAATTGTATGGGAAAACTCTATAATTGAAACCTTATTGAAGCCATTTCATGCTCTCAATTTTGAGCTGCTGCAGCTTTGATTGTTCAACCAATGATTTGGCATCCTTCGGTTCCTTCCTCTTCAATTCAGCTTCACCAAACAAACATGTCAGCCTCTGCAGCATGTATTATTGCTTCCTCCTTGTCAACCTACAAAAAGAAGAAAAACATGTTTATCAATAAACAGACAAAAGTAAATGTCATGCACAAACAAATTAAAAAGAGCACATGAATGGAGGGATTTATAGATGTTTAATAGAAATTAACGTGGTAAACAAATTGTTCTTCCTATATATGTACAAAAGCAAATTTTACATAATCCACTAGCATAAACAAAAATAAAAGGTTCAAAAGAAATACGAAGAAAGAGAGTGATAGTGAAGAGACATTACCGGGACGCGTGTGTCAGAATTATCAAAAACAATCTCCACAAATGCGGATAAAACCTGGTGCCCTACACCTTCCTGTATGAGTATGTCAAAGTAAATGTTAAAGAATGAAATCATAACTAATTAACACAAGAGTTTAGATTTTTGAGTAAAACTAACAAACAAAACATGCATGGAGTAGTGCATGCCAATCTTCATCACTACACAAGTTCCGAAAGATGTCACTCAGAACAAAACGACTGCTACAAAGAAAACCCAACCCAACAAGCAAGTTTCAGTATCATTTCGTTCAAAACGAAACAATAATTAACTAATACTCATCATTTATCAAAAAAATATATATTTACTTACGGTGGGAAAAAGTTTGACTTGCCAGATCCATTGGCACCAACTGCAAATTAATTAATCATTTGAATTAATGTACAGAAACATCAACACCACCACAGAAAACTAGCTTTGAATTCTCCAAGGAGATAGAATATTACCAACACAATTAACTTTTGGACTGAAAGAATCAGTAGTAATCTGTCCTGTGTAACTCTTGAAGCCTTCAATTATAACCTGAATTAACACAGCATGTGGATGAAGAAGAAAAAGAAGAGTTTATAATTAAGAAAGAAAACCAAATACAACAAAGAGGTGATTCGAGCAGAGAATCATAATTACCCATTTTATTATGTACATGATGATGAAACTCTACGGAATCGACCAGTCTCTGGAAGAAGACACTTCCAGAATTGGGGAAAGATAGCTTTGCTTTCTTTCCAAGGCACTTCGAGGTCAGAAATTCATAAGCAAGCACAAAACGAACTCGAAGGATCAAACCCTAGCTGAATAATTAACATAGAATCAGAATCAGCTGCTTCGAGTGAATCCGCTTAGTTCAGTGGATGAGCGG